TAGGAAAGTTGATTTAATTGCTCTCTCTATATAGAATATACCATTCTGTCAGGCAACTGATTTTCATGTTTCCCATTAGTGTAATTCCACACACTTCTCTAGTAGTCTTGGTTCTTTCTCTATTTATTTTTATTACTACCATTCATTGGAGAGTATGCAATTATCATCTACATATGAATTTTTATTTTTATACACTCACAATTATATAGAATATTCCAATTTACACATTTTATTATATTTCATTTTTTAATTAAATCTACATTTTTATTTCCACATCTCTATCAGAAAGAAAATATTTGCTGTGAACTCCATGTAGTCATCAGGAAGGGCATCTGGACAGTAAATGCTCAGCTCCCTTCAGTCATCCTAATTCCATCCTGAAGCAAGAGATTACAGGGTTGTAAAAAAAAAATCATGAATTCCCCTCTATTAGACCATAGCAGAAAACTTTCAGATCAGAGCCTTTCCTTTTTTTTCAGTTTCACTAATACACAATGTATCCATTTTTGTTCTTTCCCTTCCTTCATTAATTTATATGCTTTACCATATACTCTTCATACATTCCAATTGGAAATCTTCAAATGCTGTGGCCATCAATATAATTTTCTATTTTGCTAGCACCTACAATGCTCCACTAACCTTATGAATCAATTGTTTCCTCATTATGCTGACACATAAAGTGTAGGCCACAGCTTGCAGTTTCTTTCCAAATGGAACTATTTAACTACTTCCTTATCATGAACATCTCCCTGTGCAAGTGTAATTTAGAAACCTTTGCCACTGTAATTTTCTTTGCTTCATTTTCTTTAAAGCTAATCTTTTATGTGGCAGACTAAATACTTATTCATCAGCAGTATTATCCCTTCAACAACTTGAAATGAACAACTATGGTTTAAATACAAAAAAGAACTTGAAGGAACAATTGATCTCCACAGATATAAAAAAAAATACAAAAATAATTTTTCAGCACAATTTGTTTGCTACATCTTATGTTTCGGGCTAACAGGCAAGAAAATGCAACTTAAATATTATTTCAGAGCAAGCAACTTTGAACAGACATTTGCATATTACTTCCTTATAAGAAACAAAAAACAAAATGTAAAAATCCCTCTTCCTCATTAAAGACAAGAATTACTGGTCCTTGGCTATTGACATTTTCTTAACTTGGGTCAATGGCTAGGAACTAGGGAGCACAAGTCAAGCTCAGGAAATGTGGCCAATGAGCACCTGCAAACAGATGGGATAATGGAAAAAGTCATCAAATGAAGTGGTGGATGAAGGGCCAAAATCTCATTTAGGAAGGCTAAATCAGTAATCAGATCATTAAATTGGAAAAAGATAAGTTGGAATAAACTATTACAAGAGTAAAGTAAATTCTAAAGTTACATAGTGAATCCATGTAATGGGACTTATTTTAGATAAAATAGATACTTTAAAACAGCAACAATTCAGTTGTTATTCCATCAGGCTCTGACTAACATGTCAGGCAGTTGTTTTTAGGTTTCAGTTCATTTCATGTGTTAATCTTAAAATCTATCAATAGTAAGATTCCATTAGTTCCCAAGATGTTAAGATGAGAAAAGCTGAAACAGACCCACATAGTACAGAACACCAAAAAGGACTAATGAGTAATATTAAAACATCTTTGCTTGAATGCCTATCGCTAACTTTTTATCAATCACAGTTCTATGTTTCAACTAATTTAACTATGTCAAAGCGTTGATTGCTGACCTTATTTTCTGTAATTAAAAAAACAACTACTGTTCCAGATTTTGCTGCAATCGGGAAATTGAAAATCCAACCAAAATGTACGATGGACTGATGTATGCATCACAGTTTGTTGTGCTTGTTACTGTTATCCCAGATAGAATTTGTTGTCAATTTCATAGAAAAGGATACAAGTAAAAAAAAAAAATATTTCCATGAATATTTGTCCAATTTTCTACCATCATCACAAATAATGTCAAGCATTAATTGTACTCCAATAACTTACAAAATTTATAAATGGATTTTTTTAAAAACAACAACAACAAAATTTTATGACCTTTTCTTCCCATGCAAAATTTACTAATCAAGACTTTCTAATCAAGAATACTTTTGCCCAACTAAAATTCTGCCACAGTGTTACATACTACGGTATAAATGAACTTTTAAAGGAACGATGAGTACCGTTCAGTGGATACGATAAGACAGTACAGGGCAAAACCTTTTTTCCTAAAAATATAATATAATATTTTGACTGTATCACTATGTGAGCATTAGGCATTTCTGTTGCTGATACATATAAAAGTCTCACAAGTTCTAAAAGTATAGTAACTGATAACTTCTTCTCTAGTGTACTTCTATTGAGGTACTAACCCAAACAAATCTGATAAATGAGGACACTACAAAACCAGAATCTTTTATGTCCCAAATCCAGAGGAACAACAGCACTTTCAAAACGTTTTGAAGGGAGTTAAATACGTATTCAAGAAGTGAGTGACTTTCAGTGTATTAACCTGTATAGCATCTTAGATAACAAATCCAAGCCCAAATCATTCATTTTATAGTACATTTGTGAGCTATCTATCACCAGAAGATCTCTACATGTTTCTCTTTTTTTCAATAGCATATTTACTATCAACATTAATGTGGCACATGGCATCTCTCTTAGTTTAATTCCATCTATAAACTGCAGCTTTCTTGGTCTAGATTAGAAAATGAAGAGCTGTACCTCTCACTGACTTCTTATAAGCTTCTAACTAACCTCTCAGGCAAGAAGCTTTGTATGTAGCTAGGAGATGACCAAAATACTTTAGATATTTGACCTAATAGTTGATAAGCAATTAAGGTAACCCAGCTTCTATTGCCAAGCAAATGAGAAACAGATCTCTCTTGAAGTCAGGACGCATTTTAATTAATGCTCAGGTGAGATTGTTTAGCTTAATCAGCATCTAGCCATACAGAAAAAAATTTCTTCAGTCATTGACCAGACATGCTGTTTTGAACTTAATGGTTAAGTAATCAACCTCAGCTGCCAAGTTAATCACTGCACCCGATTACCTAACAATCCAGGCAAACTTTGTATGAAATCAGGTTGTTAGTAGCTGAAAAATTAGTAAATTTTTACAATTTATTTTCTTTTATACATTCTAAGCTTTTTCCTTTTCTCTCTATTTAATTATCAGTTGTTTTGTACTACAAACACAACTAATACAGCCTGATTTTTTTAAAAAATAAAAAGAGTACCATAATAAGACAATGATATGGATTCCTAGTTTGATTTTTTCAAATTGTAATATATTCTCATCCTACTGCACTGATTCAAGTATCCTCAGTAAAAAAATATTCCTTAGTAACAATTTACTTTACTATTGGAAGGTTTTTTTGTGATGGAAGAAGAAAACAATTGATCCTGAAATTAATTTCTTAATCTACCAAGGTTTTCTTTTCAAAATGAAATGAAGCACAAAACACAGATATGTTTTAGTGATGGTGCAAATCACTTGTTTCTTTGTCAAGCTATTTCAGGACCTATATCATATAGGATTTGGATCATAAAATAAATAAATTAGGACTTCCAGGTGCTCTGAAATGATATTTCATTGTCCCATTTCTATTGCATAACTTCTCTTATCATATTTCCACTGGATGCATTGCTTATTATAGTTAACCTTTTTTTCAATTTCACTATTGAACTTTATAATTATCAGACATAAAACATACCCCTGTTAGCTGCACCAAAAATAAATATTGCTTAAATGAATTCACATTAAGTCACATGCCAGATGTATCTTCCTGAGATCAGGAGTTATCAGTCTCTCAAACTGATCAAATTTTCTTTAACTTCAAAAAAGAATTTAAAGCAGATTTCATTGGTACTCAAATGTGAAATTAGCTAGTTTCTATTATTCAGCAAAGTCATTTAGAATTGTGTATCATAAAAATAGAAAAAACCATCCCTGAATAACAGTCAGAGAGAATATTAGCTTCCAGGATCATATTGTTTAGTCACTGATAATACTTTCAGTCATTCCAGAGGCTTGGATTTCATCCCAAAGAAGTTTGGAATCATATCTCAATCACCAGGATAGGTGAGCGCCATTAAGCTTCAAATCCATTAAGCTTCAAATCCACAATGTCCTATTTTTACCTATAAATTAAATAACACTCAGAAAAACAACTAGATTATGGAAGAACACACCACTCTACATATATTTGTATTTTATAATGCGTCATCATCACATAAAAAGTATATAAAACATTATATGGCAACATCTGGTTGAACATTTCACAGAACAGGAACATTTTTTTCGGTATGTTTATGCTATTGAAAAAAATGCCAATAAAATTTTAAATTACACACCAAAAAGTCAAATATACTTAACCATATTAAAACAAGTGCTTAGAACTACATATAAGAAGCATCTTCTGTTTAGATAGTACTTTGATCTCAAATCAATCCATGTATAACATGGAGCAAAATATCTCTTCAGTCATAAATATTTTTCAAGAAGTGGGGGAGGTGAATAAAGAAAACGGTAACTTTCTAATTGGATATGGATATATTATTGGAATACATTTGGAAATGGATTCCCATATTTGTATGCTAGTCATGATGAGAAACATTGCCAATAATAGATTTTGAAATATTTTTGTGACCACAACATATTGCTAAATTAATGTATCTGATATTTAAAAACATTAATATGACATTAATTGCATAAGTACATTGATAGAATACATATTCATATCTATTGAATATCAACATACACAATATTCAAAATACACAATATTCCAAAAAACAATACACTATATGGCTACTTTCCATTTCAGATGCACATTCAGTTATTTTACAAAATATATATTCAATGTGTGGCCTCCTTATTACAGGCCAATGGTGATTATAGCTAATAGAAAATTTTTAAAAATAATGTTCATTATTAAGTAGACATTTATTTTATCAACTGTCCTCTTAACTTCATGCAATATTCTTATTCCACAATATTTTCAGAACTTACCACAATTTTCCCATATGGCCACCATTATCAGATCATTGTAACACATCCACATTTCAGTAGCAGGCATGTCATAAAAGTATATGTAAAAAGAAGGAAAACAAAGTTAATTATTAAATAGTAATCATTTTATGCTTACTATATTAAATATTAAAAGTGTTGTGTTGATGCCACTTAATAGCTGGTCCTTCACCAGTTCATTTTTTTTTTAATTTCAAAGTTTCATTGAGCTGATAAAGAAAACCCAAGTACTGATTAGAAAATGAATAAAAACAATTACAGGACTATGACTCAGATAAATAAACTGAACCTACAAAGAAAAAAATAAGGCAAAGCTATAACTAGTCAAAGTTCATGCCACACAGAAATACCAAAGAAGAAAGAGCGGAGGAGGGGAATGCTTAATGATAACATGATGTTGTGAATAATGTGAGTTGAGTTGGACAAGAGACAGACAGCAAAAACCAACAAGTAGATTAATGCAAAGAAAGAGGTTTAAAAAAAACACAAAAAAGATTAGGATTTACTTTGAGAACTATGGGTATTTTATTTTAAAAATAATGTTGCAGACAACACATTCCTTTTATGATAGATGGCACTGTTTTTATTTTGGTTTTAAATCTGTACCAGACATAGAAAAACCTGGAACACAGCACATGCTTCCAGCTTCAATTGCTATCAACCCAGCCAGCATGCCAATGTCAGGAGATACAGCAAGCTATAATTCAAAACATCTGAAGAACTGTCTACCTTTGTTCTACATTAAATTGTTTTCTTCACAAGAAAAACTTGAGTCAAAGATAATAACTAGAAATAATAATCTCTTTTTCTCTCATACACACACACACACACACAGAGAGAGAGAGAGAGAGAGAGAGAGAGAGAGAGAGAGAGAGAGAGAGAGAGAGAGAGAGAGAGAGATGGGAAAGAATTTGGATACATAATTATGCCACACTTTTTAGGTCAAAAAAAAAAAAAAATTCAACAGCACTAAAATGGTAACCAAAAAGAACAAGTGTTATCACACTGTTTGACATAGTTGAGCTTACAGATTTCATGTCTCATTTAGGTTTAAAGTCTAAATTTAAAGTCTAAAGATTTTGAATCACTATCAAGAAAGATTTAACATATCTTCCAAGTTAAATGGAGCCTCATTGCTACTTAGATTTCAAACCATAGCAGACTTAGTTTTGGTATATATATATCAGCATGTTTTTTTCTTTGAATTATGTCCAGGAAAGGCAATACTTAAAAATTCATGTAGTTCTCAATAACACAATAGAAAATATCTACAAAAGACAAAAGTTAATAGACACTTAACAACAGCACATGAAGACAGCCATTTCAATGAATTTGAAGAGGCTTTCTTTAAATCCTCATAGAATTATTATATGGTATGAATAAAATCCCTTAGATATGGTCTTTACATAAAGAGGTTTAGGTAGTACTGTAGTGACTACATGTAAGTAGCTACAGCTAAGTATCTATAATATTGTTCCTTAATTTCTCTGCAATCTAAATAAATGCTTTAAAATATATTAATTTAAATAGATAAAAATCTTTTAGAATCCATCTGATATAGATATATCACAAGTCAGATAAGGAGAGATGCAGCGGTTCTTAATACAAAGTGAAACTCTTTCAAAAGAAATCAAAACTAATACTGAGCTTCCTGAAGCTTTGTGAACAGTTATAGACTAAGCTTCACTTCACAAATCCTATTAAACTATGGCTTGTTTGAGCACATTATTAAATAAAGCATAATTGGTTGAATGGACATATTTCTCTAAACCAAAATTAATATTCAAAATGTCAAAAATAATTTCATCCACATCATTGTTGGGGCCTTTCCTTCACTATATTTTCAATTCAAATTTTCCCAATTCTTTATCAAACATCTTAGTTTTTCATTGCAAAAGCCAAACTGTAAGTTATAACCTTTCCTTCCTAATCACAAATCAATTTAATATTACCCTGAAGAAAAGTACTTGCATCTATCTTTCCCAAATTTATCCAGTTTTTTATTTACATCTAGTTATCTAAAATGTTTTCTGTTTTCACATATGGAAAAGGGGGGGGAGGAGAAGTTAAACTTTTTCCCTTACTCCCTTTTTATAAGAACCCTATGATTATTTCTTTGAAGTTTGGCATAAACTGAGTAGCAGAGCCTATAATTATTGCCAAATACTTTTCAAAAATGTGCATATATTTTCTTTAGGAAGGAAATACAGGACCTCAGCTATTTGATTTAAAGCTGACAGGTTTCATCAGTTCAAAAAGGACTTTTGTACATGTAGATGTGTACCTATAAATTAAATACTTATTTAAATGCATTTATGTTGCATTTGCAATATATGGAAGTGTATGAAATCAAATCTATGGACAGTCAAATTCCAAACACTATTTTCGCTCAAAAAGTTCAGAGGACTTGAATAGGAATTTTCAAGCATAAAATTAATCAAAGGTCACAATCTGAGCAGACATTTAGTAGAGAGCCAGAGGTTAAGGCACTAGAGTAGAAACCAGGAAAGTGTAGTCCTGAAAGCCAAATGGACAGTTTTGAGCCAAGGGCTTTTTCTCTGCCCAACCCACCTCACAAGGTTGTTGCTGAAAGGAAAATAGGAGGTGGGCACATTGTGGATTCCACCTTGAGTTGTACACAGTAAAGCCAGGATTATTGTTTAAAAATAGTATCTAATGATAATAAAACAGATTAAAAAATATCCTGCATTAAGAGGGTTGTTTAAACAAAAGACTGAAGAACAAGATTATTTTTCATTTAATAGTTCTTATCTTATATTCTAAATATAAATCCAAAGACAATCAAAACTATGCTTCTACTTTACATCTTCCAAAAGAGATGTCAAAACAAGAGATTAAATGAATTAGTTTGCTGCTGTAATGACTCTGATGACTAAACTTTTAAAAATATTCTCTATGAGCTCTTGGATACCATACTCCCTTAACTAAGTTTAAATATGCCAGTTATTTAGTAATGTAAGGAATTATATTACTATTTTTTTTCTAAACCATACTGCTAAGGTATGAAGTAGGGATTAAGATTTTGGGCTAGCTCTGGGGTGATCCTAGTTAAAGTCCATGGAAATCTGCTGAACCATTCTGGACCAGTAATTCTCTCTCAGGCCAAGCTAAGTTCATAAGGATGAAGGGGGAAAATAATAGGGGCCAAATAAGAAAGGCAGTGGGATATAAATCTATCAAGAAGAACACAGTCTGAGGTATGTAAATATAGCTAACTAAATACATTCTTCCAAAATCACGTAAGAAAAATTAAGACCATACATTTGGGAACATCTGTTTATCTTCTACAGCATGTGTTTCTTGAGTCTATACAGTATTTTATAAATACAGTGAGATGGAACATTGTATGGAACATCCATCACTAGATAAGAGAAACTATGTTAATTTATCTCCAAGAAAGAAAAGATTTACCAGCCAAAGATAAAAACCATTTCTTTTCTTTGTAAAATACTTGAATGCAATAGTTTATTGTGAATTTTTTCACAGATGTTATGGGCAATGGGCACAGTGATGGCTACTCTGTGGGGATTTTTTTAGCAAACAAAATTATATCCTATAATTAGCATAAACAAGTGTAAGATTAAGAATATTCTAGGGTTCAGAAAAAGACCATTCCGTAGAAGTTTGAAAGGGAGAAAAACAGAATTAGAAAAAAATAAGATTTGATTGATTGTAGATCTCATTACATTGCATGCACTGAGAAATCTTATTACACACATATATTATCCAGTTATGGAGTATATATGTATGTGTATACATGCATGGTGTTTTAAATTCTTGCAGCATTGTATGCAACCAGGAAACATACTGCTCAGCAAAAAATTAAGTGTAAAAACATCAGCTGATTACATTTCTCAAATCTTCTAAAATAGGAGAAAGTTGATCAAAATCTCGAGAAAGGATGACCAAGGTTCTTAGGAATTGGGAAAAATCCTGAGCAATGAATATATTATGATTTATTTAAGGCCCCTGATTCGGTGGAAATAGTGAAATTATTGGGTACAGTAGATGGAAGAACAGAACACAAAGACTTCAGACTATACTTACTGTGATGGTGATTTATATTTTCTGCCCCTAAACAAAACATGTTAGGATTAAATGCTAATCTTCACGGGACTTTGAAGGAACCCCGAGCAGTCTAATATGATTAGAGAACAAATTTTGTCTATAAAATAACATCTGTTTTAACTTATATTCCATATATATAGCAGTCGCTGGTCTCCATAGTTCTGACTGAAGTGTTTGCTTATCTGATGTTGATTAATACATTTAGGCTTGTTCAGCATGAGTAGGTAGAGAAGAAATTCAATAAATATAATGGTTATATGTATATAATTCAGAAACCAAGTAGGGAATGATTTGAATAATCCTGTAAATGAAGCCCTGGTGTAATATTTTCATTCAGAACCAAAACAAGATCATATGCCAAAAGGTTTGTAAGCAATTACTGGAGAACCAGTATGGTACAGTGATATTGGTCCATGTCTCTAATTTATCTCAGTCCAACCTATCTCAAAGGACTGCTGTTGGGATAAAAATGCAAGAAGATGTATCCCCAGTATCTTTAGTTTCTGGAGAATATAAATCTAATGAATCAACTAACTATGTCTAAAATATTATAAATCATGCACATTGTCTTGTGCTATTTTTTCTGTGACAACCTGGTACAAAGGGTTTGGTGCCCTCGATATGCTTATCTATCATTCAAAGTACAGGATATTTCTCTACTTCCCCAAGCTGTCACTAGCACTTCTTCCTCTGGACCTCAGTTTTTATTTTCTTCACCTTTTCTGAACAGCTACTTTACATATTCATGCAAGAATTACAGCTAGGGTCAGGATAAGCGCTATTGTACAACAAGAATGAGTCAAATTAGATGTGAGAGGAGAACCAGTTACAGATGTCTTCTCATGGGCGAAGTCATTAAAAGCAGCAATATGATGCTTGGAGTGATTTTCCTGACAAGTCACTGATTAAAATTACAACAGCTCTCCAAACAAAAAGACATTTGAATTTTCCACATTGCCCAATTGGACTTACAGACGTAAGACTGGCAGGACATCATCTGTCTTTAATAACTGACAAAGTTGTCTCTAATATTGTGACACAGTCTGATGTTGCTACAATCAGGGTTTTACTTTGGATAAAACAAGAATAAATACTTTAATGCAATAATGTATAGAACAAAAATACAACAGAATCTATACTTCTTGAACTGCATTTTAATACACCCGCAGAGTCAAACACCAAAAAAAAATGTGAAAAAAATAACCTTTTAATGCAGTTGTGCATTTGAATAGTCTGATGAATAAACTTTGATACTAGTTCTTTTTAATTAATCAGGCAATATTAGGAATAAAGATAAAATGTAGCTCACCATATATAGCACTAACCATTTGGGGTCACATTAGGTGGAATGACACAAATTTATCCACAAAAGACTATGTGAGCAAGCAATACAGAATTCATTCTACCAATTACATCTCTCCCTAAAGTTTCTCCCCACAAGTACTTCA